ACTCAAGATGACTCTGTGGCACATATTAACTGATATAGGCATGCCCTCCTAGTCTGGCATGTGCCACCTTCTGGACTGTGAAAGGAGGGGCTCCTGATTCAGTGCCAACTGACTTGCAGATTAGCATCAACTGACACAGAGCTATCACAGAAAATATGTATGTCCAGCTGCCCTTGTTTAGAAAAAAAAAAAGCAGCTAAGTATCTGGGTCATAACATAAGAGTCCAGATTGAGATATCTTATAAACACAAGTGGCCTATACAGGGAATACAGATTTTTGATTAGTTTGATATGAGCTGGGGATTTCTTGACAGTGGTGGTGATAAGAACCAGATCTTGTGATGTCAACAATGCAATTATAGCCATTTTATTTACTATTCAAAACAGTAAGCCTACACATCTTCTGAGTTTATATATGCAATGTTGATAATGGTAAAAAAAAAAAAAGTGGTAATTTAAAAAAAAAGTTCTATTTGGGGACTTTTTTCAGAGGTGTTAACCTCTTCAGATGTCTGGTTTCTATCACCATCACTATGAACAATTATGACTCTCCAGAACTAATCATTTTACATCAAACCACTCTGAATGACTTCGTTTACATCTTAACTATATAATTATTGAGAAACTTTGAAAAATCTGAAGAATTCCCCTTCAATGTACATACATGTTCAAGTACCACAAGCTGTAGTAGGCACTGCACAGTTGGAGGCCAATCATCTTAGCGCGATCCACCCATAGAAGTAGTCCACACATAAGAAGTTTGGACAGCACTGTGTCCTGCTATTCTGCTGTCTAAAATAAAAAAGCATAATTATTTAGTATATTAATAAATTCATTGAAAGTTTCAAATGTCACATAATCAAAAAGGGAAGGTTTCATGCTCGCCTTCTGAGCCAGAGTGCCTAAAAGTAATTTAAAATAAGAAGAACTTGAGTCAACTTGAGTCAACTGTGGGCTTGAGTGGGCTTTCCCCGCCTCTATTTAGCCATGTACATCTCTTAGACCTCAATGGATCTCTTTGAAAAGAAGTCAATGAACACATCCCCTAATTAACTAAAATAGTTTTCATCAATACTTGTAACAAGTTATTGCACAAAGTGATGAAAGCATGAGAGGACTCGCATAAAAATGACAGACAGGTCTGAATCATTGACAGGTAAAGTGAATCATGTTGCAGGCAGTGCTGTGGACAGCTTCACTGCAATGTCTCCATTTACATTTGGAATGCCCATTAATCAGTGCCCAATTATTGATATGCTTTAAGTAAAGGAGATGCGGGTAGGGCTAAGCACTCACAAAGCATCTGTCATTACAATGTCTTAGAGACAAGACGATGAAGTGGATGTCAATGGGGGGGTGGTACACACAAGTCACAGTGTACATGTGTGACTTTACAGAGACCATAACTCACAGCCCATTCCTTATTGACCCACCTGCTCTGATGTCTAGTGTGATGCCTCCTGATCATTCATCCATTACTGACTTGCATAGTCTTCTTGCATTTGCCATTGTAGCTCATAATTATTCCGGTATAATCCAGCTACAATAGCAAGCACTCTTTCAAAAAAGATGAAAAAAAGGTTTCTTTGGAGCCATGACATCAAAGAACCACTTTTGGTTTTCTGAAGAACCTTTCAAAAGATATGCGATAAGGAACCTTTACATTGTATGGTGATTCTTTAACATTTATAAACAACCAAAGTACATACCTGTACCAATTAAATAATTTGTCTAGAACAGTAGGCCAAAGCCCGGAACCTCCGTTAATAGTCTATTCTTCTGCTTCTTCCCTGAGCCTTTCCATAGTGTGGAGGTTATGTTAACTTTTAAAAGGTTCTTCATCCTTATATATTTAATTTATAAAAAATATTCCCTAAAGAACCATCCACTGAAAGGTTCTTTGGAAATCTCTACAAAATCATTAAACAATAGTGAGCACTGATAAAAATAAAGCTGCCAAATCTGTTTTTTGGAGCGATGACCTAAGAGAACCACTTTTGGCTCCCTGAGGAAACTTTCAGTAGGTGATTTCTTAAGATGTTTACAAATGATATGTGCAATATAGAACCTTTTAGAACCTTAAAGAACATCATGTGGGGTCTTTTAAACTTTAGGGACCTCCACATAATATAAGGTTCTATACGAATCAAAGGATTTTCCTAAGCAGTAGGTCCAAGCCAAGAACCATTTAGGAACCTTTAGTTAAGAGTTTGTTGAATTTTAAAGAACACACTACTCAATTTGTTGAGAAATGGAAGTTAATTATCCAAATATGTGTTAAATCAAACTACCTAGTGATATGTAAAATGACCAAATTTGGTTACTGAGACCAGTCTTTCCAGCTCGTGTGAGACAGAATTATACAGAAGGGTGAGATCTTGAGAACTAAAGCCAGCATGGAGAAAAACAAATGCATATAAGTATGCAAATGAAGAAATTAACAAAATTTTAGGTCAGGAACTAGTATGGAATGTTGCAAATCTTGGACATGCTGATGTTTACATGCTATGCATATTTATTAATTACCAAGTCTTATACTTTTTCTAAATACAGAGGATGTGGGGGGATTTTTTATATGCATGCATCAGCACAGATATATGGAACATCGACAACCAGTTCTCATCAATCAGCCTTGTTGGGCTTGGTATTTTATAACCACTCAGAGTCCAGAGAGCCTTAACCCTGTAAAACTTTGGACAGTGTATTGACCATTCTCTGAGGGTTGTTTACTTAATTAAGCCTGGTGGATGTTGAAAATGAGAGGGTGCTGCTATGTCAACACTTCCATGTGACACCTCCTGCTAAATTGGAATGTTCTGCTAATAGGGGTAGATGTCTAAAGAATAGCCATGAAATTACAACAGGCTAGAGGTCACAAACAAACACAGCTACACAGACGAAGAAGGCTGTATTCCTCACCGCATGTGTGGTCAAGTTTGCATACAATGTTGCAAGTAAACTTCTCTGGAAGGCCAGTAAAGTAGCCGTCAAAGATAACAGGAACTATTACAGCGATGCATTTCATTCCAATTGTGTTAGTGCAGTTTTTGAACTTGTATTTGGTAATTGTTTCTCTGAAGACATACTTGTAAAAAATAAGAAAAGTATGAAAAGCGTAAGAGTGAATATACACAATACATCCTTAAAATGGTTCTTTGTACTCTAAAAAAAGGTACCACAAAGGGTTCTTTGAGTGATACCATAGCAGAGCCACACTTGGATCCCTAAATAAGGATGGCTGAAAATTAGTGAGGGTGAAGAACGTTTCAAAGGTTAAATTATAAGCTTTTATACCAATCAATACCATTTTTGCTTTCTAGAACCTTTACAAAAGTGAAGGATTTTTAAACTTACATTATTAATATTGTTCTGCTTTTGTAATTGATGCTATATAGAACCATTTTCAAATTGGTTCTATACAGAACCATGTACACCACATTCTCCATCAATCTAAAGAAGCAATTTACCATGCAAAGAACCATTTTAGCACTGCAAATGGTTCTACAACTCATGTTACTAAATAGAACCACTGCATTTACTAAATAACCTGAAAGAACCATGTTTTTTAAATGTGTAGGGTTAGTTTGTGATATGAGAGGGCCCTGGTTTGATGAGTGCTATCTGCAAAGTAGCCTCGGCATGAAAACCGCCTCTTGTGGAGCAAGAGAGAATGTTTAGGTCATCGTCCAATTTTGCCTCTCAACTCAAACGACTAGCCACAACCAGCTGTTATTTACGTGCAAATGAATCCGGCCATGTGTGCTTGTCTCCAACGTTAAACAGAAAACTTGTCATGTGCACACAACCTAACCTCGACTTGAGTTTGCAGAAATTGGATATAGTCGCTGCGTACCAGTTCAAACAGCGTTTGTGACATTCTAGCTGTGGATCAGGTCTGCGTGTGTAAACAGATGCTGGTCAGAATATTAAGAATAGAATAGACTAATATAATTGGACGCCGAGGGGAGGGGGTCTCCGAAGAGAATCTGAACCAAGTCCTGAGTCAGCTCTGTTTCGCTCAACGTGTTCAGGAATACAGTAAGAAGTCCGAATTCGAGCATATTCGGTAATTTCTTGAACGGCTGCCCATTTAATGATTGCAAAGTCAAAACTCATTAACGTGCAGTGGACGCGCGCGCAGCTCTGTAATTTTCAAATATACACTCGCCCAAAAGAACAAAAGGGAGAGAGAAAAAAGGTAGAAGATGATGATGATGATGATGATGATGATACAATAACAGAAATGCGACAAAAGGGTAGTATTCAAATTCTGGAATGAAAAATCGGTGGGGAGAAAAGAAAAGAAAAGAAAAGAAAAGAAAAAAAAAATTCGACATTACCAGCACCAACACAGTCATTGTTTAATATATTTTAATAGATACGAAATATACGTGTTATAATTAAAGAAAAAAATTACTCAACCATCGGCATAAAAAATTGCTTAGTGATAATCGTGCATTTTGGGCAGTTGTTATCTGAAATGAATGATTTAGTCTAATCATTTGCTAAACCTTTGTCAATTTTATTTCGTAAAGTGTTTTGAATCGCTGAAAAACAAAGCAGAGGGGGGCCCTAGCCGTGACGCTGCAGACAGTGATTTCTTGCGGCCGAGGCTTCGCTTCGCTTTAGTTTTTCTCTCCTCCCGCCGGCTCCCCCCGTCCCCGCACTCCCTCCATCCCTAATGACGTCGCCACCGTTCACACGCCACGCAGCGAGGCAGCGCCGTTCCCGCGGCAGCCGCGGACTTTCCAAACACCTTTTTATAAGTCTGAAGTCTTCTCCCCTCCACCCGACCTGTTAAAACCACGCCTACGGAGGCCCACAATTGGTCCCGAAAGCGTCAAAGAGCCAATCAACGCGAGGCGAGCGTCCCCGCGACGCGTCGACACGTCCGCGCCGCAGCGAGCTTTATGGAGTTCAGAAGAAGCGGCGGGAGCGTCTCGTGTGCTGCTGGGAGCTCAGCTCGCCTCGCCTCGCCTCGCGCTCCCCTCACGGAAATGTGCGTGCGCACAGAACGGCCAAGAAGGAGAGAGTGTCCGCGCGCGTGAAGGTGCACGCCTCGATCGGGCCGGAGCTCGGGAATTATCGTGAGGAAGAGTCCGAACTCGCGAACCGAGGAGACCCAAAAGGCGCGTGCGGAAGAATGTCGGACGTCAAGTAGAAACGCTCTGACTCGCGCGATCGCTCTGGTTTCTTTTTTCTTCTCCTTTTTCTTCTCCTTCTTCTTCTGCTCCTCGCTTTCCGTTCACACGCCGACGCTTCTGAAGACAAACTCTACCAGCGAAGATTTAATGGATGGCCTTTTCTTGTTTTCTCTTGCAGCCACTTCGTGGGAACCCGTCTAACGAATAAAGCGAAACGCGCCTGCTCCGCAGCGAAGCCGGTGGATGCTTACCGATTTGCGAAGGATTTTTTTTTCTGTGGAGAACTTCTGAAAAAAAACTGGATTCTGACCATCCGAGCAGCAGCTAAAGTAGAAGCCGTTCCCTTCAAGGCACAACGTATCTGCGAGCTGGCCTTGAATGAGCTTCCTGATGAGAGATCCAGTCATACAAGGATCGAGCATGGCATACCACCCGTTTTTACCTCACCGGGGTCCGGAGTTTGCCATGAGCGCCATGCTGGGCCACCAGCCGCCCTTCTTCCCCGCCCTGGCGCTGCCGCCCAGCGGCTCTCTATCGCTGCCGGGCGCGCTGGGGAAGCCCATCATGGAGCAGCTGATGGGCGCCGCCGAGACCGGCCTGCACTTCTCGTCGCTGGGCCACCAGGCCGCCGCCGCCGCCGCGCACCTCAGGCCGCTCAAGACCCTGGAGCCCGAGGAGGAGGTGGAAGACGACCCCAAAGTGCACCTCGAAGCCAAGGAGCTTTGGGAACTCTTCCACAAGTGCGGCACAGAAATGGTTATCACGAAATCAGGAAGGTAAACATGGAGTTATTGTGGGGTCAAAAAAAGGACAAACAAACAAAAATTGGGCCAGTTCAGAAATTGACATGGTCGTGATTGGAGTTATCAATAGACACGGAGACTGACTGCATTGATTTATTGATTTGAGTTCCTTTACTTTTGGGTGCCTCAGACTTTCAGGGTTTCTTTACGTTCAGCACTTATCAGCACACAAGATTAGGCTAAGCCAGGCTTAGTTGTGAATGACTTTATTATGTGGGCTATTATCTGTATATGGGCACCTAGCATGTCGATGTAATCTTTACAACGTTCAAACACAGCCCAGCCTATACTATAAATGTTGGTTTGATTTCACCCATGGCAACAATTTAACCCAGTCATATTTTACGACTGCTTCAGGCACTGCGTAGACCTAATTTATCAGAAAGGACTTATTTTCAGTACAGTTCACGTTTGCTTTTGCTTGGAAATATTAAAGGGTTAAAAATCACACCAGCCTTAATGTGGAGTTAACAATATATATATATATATATATATATATATATATTTCGAGGACATTAATCATTGATGTCTTTGTATTAGCGTCGAATGAATTTAATTTAGTAGAAATGCATTAGGTATCGTTTGACTTTTAAACTGCTGTTTTGCTCGGTCGTGCTGTGAGTCTGAGAATGCTCTACAGGTAGAGGATGAGGGTTAGGCCTACTCAAGCCAAAATATTGTTATGGTTTAATGCTTTTACCATGCACATAAGCAGGCCATTTAGGTTTAACTCAAATAGTTTATTGATATTTAATGATATTTCCCCGAAAAACAAACAGGTTACTGAAGATCATTCAAAACTTTCTTCTTATTATTATTCTTATTATTTTTTTCTCATTCTTCGCAGGCGAATGTTTCCTCCGTTTAAAGTGAGGTGCACTGGCTTGGATAAGAAAGCCAAATATATTCTGTTGATGGATATCGTGGCGGCTGACGACTGCAGGTATAAATTTCACAACTCGCGCTGGATGGTGGCAGGCAAGGCTGACCCCGAAATGCCAAAGCGGATGTACATTCACCCCGACAGTCCGGCCACTGGCGAGCAGTGGATGTCCAAAGTCGTCAACTTTCACAAACTTAAATTGACGAACAATATCTCCGACAAGCATGGATTTGTAAGTGGCTTTTATTATTATTATTATTATTATTATTATTGTTGTTGTTGTTGTTGTTGATGTTGTTGTTATTGTTAGTGGTGGCCTTCTGGTTTATTAATTCACTTTTTATTTCATTATCTTTTTTTAATACGCCTACGAACTGGTGGCACGTTTTTTATACACCAAGTACTTTTTTTAATTATACATCAAATACAGTAAAATCCCGTATATTAAATACTGTAAAGTTTGACTGAAATGTCTATCTTTAGTGGAATCCAAAGTTACTCACGTTTCACTGTTTCACTCGAGTGGAAAAGCTTTGCTGAATGAAGCCTGCTAGGCCTCAGCTTGTTAGCACGATGAGGAGTTTGGGGGGGGGGTGCTGGTGGTAGAATGGTCTTGCATGGTAAATCTGTCAGCTACTGTAAAAATCTTTAAAAAGCAGCTCTCCTTTGTATTGCAGACGATTCTGAACTCCATGCACAAATACCAGCCAAGATTTCACATCGTGCGAGCCAACGACATTCTGAAGCTCCCTTACAGCACATTCAGGACTTACGTTTTCCCCGAGACTGATTTCATTGCTGTTACTGCATACCAAAACGACAAGGTAGGTCAAGACGTGCTTTATGTGTTGAGCTGTGTTTTTTTGCTGTTTATGAATCCAACACCATGTTTTTAATGGATTACAGTTCATTATACTATTGCATTGACAATAATGAAAGTGTTAGTATAGCTGCATATACTGTACAGCGATGGTGAAATCGTTGAGAGCACTTTGATTTCCTGTGCACAGTAAGTCTGTGCTCCATTGTATGACCCAAACGATCATAAAAGCCCTCCTTCAGAGTATGGGCAGACATCTCAAGAATGTATGTCTTACAGGTTATCTTAATTATGTTTAATCACACGAGGTCGAGTATTTGGCAAACTATCCCAGCACTGCAATGTGTGTGTGTGTGTGTGTGTGTGTGTGTAGGAGAGAGTGAGAGAAAGAGGGAAGTAAGGGGAGGGAAAGCAGATTATGGACGGGAGCATAGTTAAGAGAAAGTGATTTCATTCCTACCAGAGCTGAATATGTTTCAGGTGAACCAGCTGTTTATTCATTAGGTTGATAGTTTAGCTGCAAAACAGTTTGTTGCATGTCAGAGCTAAATAAGATGCAGTGTGTGGTGGGTGAGTGTGTGGGGGTGTTGCGAAGCTGTGAATGTAAACGTATTTTTTATGAGTGGAGGAAGCAGCTCCCCAGACCACCTAGGTTAGGTCACTGTGAAAAATTAATTGAGAAAAGGTCCAAGCAATAACTCAATACAGGCGTGATCTTGGCCAAAAAAACCCTGTAGACCAACAAATCTATGATATCCATTGCGCCAAACATCGTCCAGAGAGTCGTGCAGTCAGAATTTCTTCGTTTGAAAAGACTTAAGTGCGATTAGCGTCACTTTTTTGGTCAAATATCATTAGGCTCACAGGTGCCGTTCAGTGCTCATGTTTAAATGTGTAAATAAACGGAGAGTCTGTGGTCACACTGATTTGTTCAGACTAGTTCGTGTGGGTAATATATAAATATACAGACAGGCTACTTTAATTCATTGTTTATTCTTCGTTGTATTTTAGATAACACAGCTGAAAATCGACCACAATCCATTTGCAAAGGGCTTTCGCGATACTGGCAATGGAAGAAGAGAGAAAAGGTGAGAGAAAAAAAACATATGTATATTTATATAGGAAATGTATACATTGTTATAAAACTACGTATATAAGTATTTATTTGCTGAACACATATTACAACAAATACAAACAACATTAATACAATAATTATTAATTGTACGAATGCATGCTCGTTATTCTCCTGGTGGCAGTATTATTATTAGCTATTGTTCATTAGTTTGGATTATCAATACTTCGTTAAATCAAGGGTGCTGGCGATGGGATTTAAAACATCTATACGGTATCTGGAGGCACTGAGGAGAAATCTGGAACAAAACTTTGTTTTTCAAACTAGTTCATAAGACAACTTCTCCTTTTTTAAAACATATATTGTATTTACATTTTTTTTGCATTTGCTGTGATGCTGTATGGAGATTTAACACGCAAAAACACCTTTTACAAAGATAAATAGCTTTAAGTAATGTGCTTAAGACTTTATATGCATTAATAACTGAATCAATAGAATAACTGTGTGTGTTGTGAAGAGTAATGCACGTGATGCTAACAGGGCATAGCAGCGTTGTGTTTTAAACGTGTGTGTCGCGATTGGGCTGCAGGAAACAGCTGGCTTTGCAATCCATACGATCGTACGAGGAGCAGCAGAAGAAGGAGAACGGCACGTCCGACGACTCCTCAGGCGAGCAGGCCTCCTTCAAGTCCTTTCGCCAGGCCTCGTCCCCCGCGGTGTCCACTGTGGGCCAGCCCAACTTAAAAGGTAGCCTTAATGTTCAGCCACCGAGCCCACCCTGATCCCTATCCAAATAACAAACCGCTACAGGCTGTGTTACCTGTTACTTGCTCAGCTAACGATATGCCAAATGACTCCTAATATTTGTACACGTGGGTGTGAGTGTGTGTGTGTATAGGCCAAATGAGTTTAAGGAGAGTGGTCTAATTTCTAATGCAGGCCTGTTGTAATGCAAAATAGTAAGTTAAGATGGGGCGATAGTAGCTTAGAAAACAATTCATTTTCGTCCAGAACATTTTATATATCATTATATAATATTATATCATCATATTTACAGGTCATTTTATCGTTCTTTGCAGTTAATTTATTATAAAAATACGTTATAATGTGTAATGCATATGTTACAAAACATGTATAACATATATATTATGTTATTGCACCTGTAATAAAATATCAGTTAAACATATACAATTTCCACAGTATGTACATTTATGTGTGTTGTATAATATGTGTGTAATAAAACATACATAGAAAATATAAGTTAATAACCCTATAATAATATGTGGGTTAAATATAGACAATTTCCCAAAACTTTAGGAAGGTTCTGTGTGTGTGTGTGTGTGTGTGTGTGTGTGTGTGTGTGTGTGTGAGAGAGAGAGAGAGAGAGAGAGAGAGCACTTTCTACTGTTCAAGCTACTGTTTTGTATTAATTAATTATACCATTGATTAATAAGGTTATAACAAGCGCGAAACAAGCTGAAGCAGTAGATGTAACCTTGTTAAGCAGCCTAATGTTGATGGAACATCAACTTCACGCTCACACCGACGTGACATGTTTCCTTCTCCCACAACTCCTGCCACAGATTTCTGCGACAGCGACGAGGACAGCGACGACGACGACAAAGACGGGCACGTGAAGGAAGGGCCGGACTCCAGCAAGATCTCCACCACCACCGACGACGCCAAGGAGCACGAGGCCGCGCTCAGCAAAGGCCGCCTGTTCGGCGACGGCGATTCGGCGGCGCGCCTGCGGACTGAGAAAAGCAGGGCGGACTCGCGCCAGAGCCCCGTCACGGTCATCTCCAGCACCACGCGCTCGGCGGAAGATCTCAAAAGTCCGGCACGTGAGCAGAGCAAAGCGGACGACCCCCGGCCTCTGAGCAAGGACAGCTATATGCCGCTGACCGTGCAGACGGATGGCGGCGCGCACTTAAACCAGGGCCCCTTGCACAATTTCGGATTCCCGCCGGGCCTGGCCGGCCAGCAGTTCTTCAACCACCTGGGCGGCGCCCACCCCTTCCTCCTGCATCCTGGCCAGTTCAACATGGGAGGCGCCTTTTCCAACATGGCCGCGGGGATGGGGCCGTTACTGGCGGCCGTGTCCTCCGGAGGGGTCAGCACCATGGACACGGCCAGCATGGCGTCACCGTCGCAAAACCTGACGGGAGGCCCAGGTCTCCCTTTCCATTTGCAGCAACACGTCTTGGCGTCGCAGGTAAATGAGTCATTCATTCTTTTTGCTCGAGACGAGAGTGTTTGTTAGCCATTCACGTGCTGACTATTTAGTGTATGGACACCACTGGGCTATATGATTTTGTCGTTAAGTTTGATAAGTCAAGGTGTGACTGAGACTTGAGACTTGAGAGTGTGTTTTAATAGCCATGATAATAAATCATGACAACATGCTACACTCGACAGTAAAACATGCATATTCAGAGCACTGTCTGTGTTTAGTCTGTTTTTAGATGGCTATAATAATGACATTATAGCAATAATGGTTGGAGAGTTGTTAACGTTTTGCTTGTTGTGCTTAAAAGAGTCCCGAACTTAATGAATGGAAGTCCTTTTTGAGAGAACATATTTGGCCAAAATATTTGCAAGCATATCCACAAAGGAAAATGTAACAAATGCCTGGGAAATTGGCAATGAATGTTCTGGCTTCCAAAACACCAAAGTGCTGATGTTTTTAGTGCGTGTATTTGAGAGCCACTGCCTTGATGTCTTGTTGGCAGTAATTAAAAGGTGAATGCATGAAACAGGGCTATTGTCCTTTTTAGCAGGCTGTGATTCGGCGATTTGTTCATTTTGCTGAATAGTACAGTGTTTGTACAGGTTTTAATGCCATGTAATGTGGTAGTTCACTCCAATTAAAAGTCAAAACAACTCAGCAGTCAAACTTAAGGCATGTAGAAATTATTTCAGGATATCCAGCAATGGTTTAGCAAAAAATCAAATTTACCCAATTTTATATACATTTATACAAATATAGCCCAGGCATATTTGGTGTCAGTTTACTTCTTTGGTTTTGGAGTGGCGCTCTGAAGCTAATGTGGTAGCGCAGATTGCCATTACTTGTTAGCTGCATTAGCCTCGCAGCTCGGTTGCAAAACTAAAGAAGCAAACTTCACGTTTTGCCTGACCGACAATTTTTCTTCTAATCTAATGTGCATTTGTTTGGATGGTTGGTTTGCACACTGCTTTCTGGACTGTTGCTCTAAAGATCTCTCTCCACATCATCTTCTCCATCCAGGGCTTGGCAATGTCCCCCTTCGGAGGCCTCTTCCCCTACCCCTACACGTATATGGCAGCCGCAGCGGCCGCCTCCTCCGCGGCCTCCTCCTCGGTTCACCGTCACCCGTTCCTCAACGCCGTGCGCCCGCGCCTCCGGTACAGCCCGTACTCCCTGCCTGGTGTGCCGGACAGCACGCTGCTCACCACCGCCGTGCCGCCAGTGGGGGGCGGCGCCATCGACCTGAAGGCGGACGGCATGGCCTCGAGCCCCGCGTCGGCCACGCTGGACTCCACCTCGGAGGTGACCAGCCGCTCGTCCACCATGTCCTCGGGCTCCGTGTCGCTGTCGCCCAAAACGGCGCACGAGAAGGACTCGAGCAGCGAGCTGCAGAGCATCCAACGCCTGGTCAGTGGACTCGAATCGAAGCAGGAGAGAGCGCGGAGCGTGTCCCCGTGAGGTCACCGCGGCTCGAGTGACCCCCTCGAACACTGCATACGGATTGTGTACGACGACGCCCTTCTAGCGAAAGCGGGTTTACAACACGGACCTACATTGGAAAAACAAACAAACAAACAAACAAAAAAGTTTGATTTTCAAATGCACTTTGGTAATACACAAGGCAAAACCATTTAGTATGTATGTCTCCCGTTTTTGTTGTTAAATTAAAACACCAACAATGAATCTTTTTCCCCTCCTTATTTGAATAGGCTACCATAGAAGTATTGAAAATGAACAGCTTGGCTGAGGATGTCAGATAAAATAAGCTGCTGCTGTCCTACGTTTCATGTCAACTTGTTGGGGTGACAATGGATTACTTTAATATGCACTCTACATAGGGTCTTAGTTTATTGGATATCTCTTTATCTCATAAAGACTGCTGTGTTTGAAATGTTTAGTTCTTAACGATTTGGAAGCCTGACGTTCCTGCAGGCGGTTTGCATGTTATAAGACCACGTCACAGCTGCCGGTTTACAGTTTCTTTTGTATTATTTTTAGTTTTATTTTATTTTATTTTGGATTACCAAATACACACCAAATAGAGAATAGAAAGCGAGACAGTGCTTGCAATATTACATAACGGGTTTACTTCCACCTCATGGAAGTACAGTTTGAGAAAATAACAGAATGAGGTTGACAAAGTTTTTAGCCATGTTATAAGAAGTCCAAAAGTTGCCCCAATCAGTCAGCAAACACACTGGCGACATTGGTTCAACCCATTTATACTGTAGGTTACCACGGTACAAGAACTGCATCACTGAATCCAGCATTGAGATTAATCGGGAAAAGGGAATCTAAACACGGACATGGTTCTAATGACTATAATGTAAATAGTGACATATACTGTAGCTACAAAATATTTATGTAATTATTTCATATGGATATTGCGTGTAAATATAATGGAGTTTGTTTCTTCTTGGGGAGCTGTCCTTAATTTATTGTTGATATACCTGTGTAAAAAAAATAGTTTGTGAGGTATTAGCCTTGTTTATGACATTTTCTCATTTACGTCCCTCTATGGATTGTAATGTACCCCAAAAAAAGTATACCCGCACTGCTAGGTTTTCTAGCGGACACAATCATGTGCCATCGTTCCTTTTACTGTTGTCTGTGTTTTAAGTGCTTCTGTTCAAACGAATTAAAGGCGACAGCACATTGCACCAGTGGCGTCGAGCTGATCATAACTTCCTTTCTTTCTTTAAATGTTCTGCAAAAACGCTTTCCTTGAACGGTTTTAAGGAATATTCAAAAAAAGCCTGCTTTCTTGATCATCTGTGTCTTGTTTTTTATAAGGTCCGTAAATTATAGAGTTTGTTTACATTTTTTAAACAGCAAAGTCTTTTTCAGAATTTCAATAAAGAAGCAAACCACGTTCTACAATGCAACGACGGAGGTTTAGATGTTAACCAAAATAAAAGAGTAAAATAAAAGACGTAAAAAAATAATAACACTACTGTACTTAAAAGAATTATGGAGAGTGAAGCAAAACTGTAGGCTACATTCCAACCAAATCATAACAAAGTCTATGAAGGGGTTGATGGAATTATAATCTAGAACTGGGTATGCTGGTAAAACAAATCAACTGTTTGAAGATATATTTCACGCAGCCTGTAACATCCAGGACGTCTGGTCACATCTCTGGTTTTTTGTGGCCTGGCATATCTGAAAGAGAGGCTTTATTAAGATCCTTGAGGAGGATGTCTACAAAAGTCACGAAATCTCTTCAAGATCACCGATCACCTCTAGACAAAGAGAGAGAGCATCTCACGGCTCGACCTGTCATAACTGGAATTCTTTGGTGGACATTAAGCTGTATGGAGCCAGTGACCGAGCTTTATGAGGGCCACTGTGGAACCAGCACACATAACGTTTATGTCGCCTGATATGAACCTGAAAGAATGTATAAAATAATAATAACGTGATTGCCAACTCTGGGTTGCGCCCAGAGTCACAGGTTTATCAGTCCCGTATCTTTATTTGTATATAGTACGGTTAATAAGTAACGATAGTGGCGCTGGAGAATAGGAGTAAACGCAAGGCGAACTATCTCAATTGCTCCTTCTATTGCTCACCTGGCGCCTTCGGTATCTTACCTGATTTTATTACTCGGCAGGCGACGGTGCGTCTGCAATAATGTTGGAGGGGAGTTTTCCTGCTGATGTCAGCTGCTTATCGCCACCCAGCGGTTACAGGGCAAAGTACACGTCAAAGAGCAAAGAGATTACTCCCATGGACTCGTGATAGGGCTCGCTGAGGTGGGTAGTAGTTATATTTGTCCAGTTTGTTTTCATATGCAGATATTTCTGAAAGGAATCTGTGAGGTTCGTTTCTCTCATTCAAATATAGTTAATAACTGCTTTCTTTTCTGCTGCACTGTTTTGCTGATTATCACGTTTCTCCCGTTCGAGCTTGAGCTATTTATTCATAAAAAAGCATTTAAAAAGTTCCGTTAGTGGCCAAAACGTTCCGTTAATATTTCCGTCTTTTTTCGTCAATAATTTTCATCAACGTAAAAACACCTGTACTTGAACATGAATATAGGCTACTTTTCCCACCTTATCCACTGGTCAAACTGACGTGAAAAATGACATATAAATATGCGCCGACAAATAAAAGCATGTAGGCTACAATAAACATATTTTTATTACTGGTATGATACGAGCGAAAAAGGTGAATATCTAATTCTATTTCTGCCATGTAGATCACGTTTAGCAGTAAAAGATCCTCCTCGACCTAAAAAAGCATTTGAGTTTAATCAGGGCTGGACTTGAGTGAATTAGACATTTGCGTTCAGATTAAAAATAAACGGATACATCAACATTTTATTGACAGTGAAGCCTCAACCTCAGATCACAAAGACAGTTAGATAGTAAATAAATGTGTTTTCCGAAAAATAATTAATGACCACGGCCTGTGTGCGAGCTTGGATCTTCATGATGACTTGTATCGCAATTTCTGAAACAATCTTGAACTTAATTGCTATTTTTTAACGCAAGACATGTTAAATGTAGGACAAAATGACTTTTTTTGTTTTTATTTCCAAATAAACACGCATTGATTCTTAAATAAATAGATTATTAAAAAAAAAAAACTACCATTTACTAAATAACACAGATTTACGTTTAACGGTCTAACAGAACATGGTAAGACCGTTTGCCGTTCCCTCAATCTGATTTCCACTGAGAAAACAAAAAACAGAAATGAGCCATCAGACGTGCAGGCTACCTTTCGCTAGAATGTAATTCAGAGCAATATTATGGCTCGATGATAAAATGGTCGTTAAAAACGAGGGGAATCAATCAGACAGATTAACTTATTTGTAACTGTGCTACGTGTTTAGAGCGATCATATCATATCCACAGATCATAATGTGCAAGCACTTTATGATACTGTAATAGCTTTCCCAAAGTCATCCGGTATGATGCGTCCCTTACAGGCTGTACTGGGGTCAAAGATCCCCTGGACGTAGCCAAAGATCCGTTGGATCCTCTGATAGGCTGCTGCGGAGTGACGATCATTTTCACACCATGAATTTTTAATTAGGCTCGCTCTTCACCTTTACACTAATTTTTTCAGTTACAGCTTTACATGACGCGTCTCTCAACACTGAGTCACATGGAGAACGTGGTTAGTGCGAGCATCACTGTACAAGAGTCCTGCTCCACATCTCTTTCTTTCTTTCCTTTTTTTCTTTCTTCCTTTCTTTTCTTTCTTTCTTTCTTTCTTTCTTTCTTTATTTATTTATTTCTCTCGTCTTTCTCTCTTTCTTTCTTTCTTTCTTTTTCTTTTTTCATCCTTCTTTCTTTCTTTCTTTCTTTCTTTCTTTCTTTATTTATTTATTTATTTATGTACTGCTTTATTTATTTGTTTGTTTATTTATTTATTAATTAAAAGTAAACAAACCTACACTCTTTAAAAATATGGTTCTTTAAGAATTCTAAACAAAAGTATTCTAAATACTAAGAACTTTACTACAGAGCCCTTGATGTTCTATATATAATTCTATATAGAATAAAATGGTTCTATTTAGAACCATTTTATGCTTAAATGGTTCTTTGCGTGGTGGATCTGTTCTTTATATTGATGGAGAATGTGTTTGTTTGGTTCTATATAGTACCAGAAAGGGTTCTTCCATTGTTACGATGTCAAGCTCGTTTTTTTTTTAAATAGAAGCACCCCTTTTGGTGCGATGTAGAACCGTTTTCAAAAAGGTTCTATATACATATAGAGCACATTCCCCATCATTTTGAAGAACAAATTAATCACGTGAAGAACCGTTTAGGCATGCAAATGGTTCTATATAGAACTCATGGCCATTACCTTTACTAAAGAACCTTTGAAGAACCATTTTATACTGCAAAATTACGTTTGAAGGAAAAATAAAATCTGAAGTGTGTGCCAGTGTGTGAACTCGCTCAGCCTCGCTCTCTCTCTCCACACACACACACACACACACACACACACACACACACACACACACTGGCCGCCCTACCAAAAAGAAAAAACCCTCTATTGTTGTGGGTTGTTTGCGTGTGGTTTGCGCGCCATCTAGCGGCGCCTTACAGAACAAATCTCGAATTTCTCACATCGTGTAGAACACAAGTAAACAGTTCCTACTGTTTTTGTCAGAAAATGTTCTCTAAGCTGCCAGAATGTCTGAGTTATTGTGCATAATCACTACAACAGGCGGCACTACAAACTCAGAAATGGGTTACTGATCATCATGCCGTATATTTCCTTTGAGTGACTTACCCTGAAGCTCAGGTAAATATGATTCATCTCCACATCTATCATCATCTAAACCAGCTCCAACGTTAAAACGTGACGGTGACGCCTCCGCCCCTGCTCGCAGCTAAAAACCGAATGCTCCAACAAGTTAGCTCTCTTCCCACCAGGACTACGAACAGCAGTACTCGCGTTCTTGTGTGGTACTCAGAGTTAGCGAGCTCAAGAACATTTGGCAGCTAATAAAAAGAAAGCAGTTAGGAAGGAGAGAATGTAGGTAACCGTCTGTGCTCCAGAGACATGCGACTGCTCGTAGTTAACCCTGGGTGTTACCTGGACATGATGAGCTTTCTGAGTAAACATTCTTACACAGTGAAACTCTCCACTATATCATTTAATGATTAGATTCCTTTACAGTGGTGGTGAAAGGAACCAGAGTTTCAGATGTCTATAATACAAATATAGCCATTCTATTTACTATCCTTACTTACACGTTTTTATTATTTTAATGTTAATAATGATACAATAAACTTTCTTTAGTGACTGCTTTGCCTTCTAAAGCCATGCATGTACCACCAGGAATGAATGAAGATATTAAAAATTATGTTTTAGGCAGAAGCTTATCTCAAATATATATCGTAAAACAATGTCTCAGACATCAGGCAGCGTATTCACAATCATTTTGTGTAATATCGTTATGTGAGGGAGCTTTTAGTGGCAGTAAACTCTTCAGACGTCTGGTTTCTATCACCATCGCTGTGCACAATTGTGACTCGGTAAGTTTCTCTAGAAAGGAGTATTTCATATCAAACCTCTCTGAATGACCAGTGTTAACTATTTAATTATGTAAAAAGTTGAAACATTGATGGATTTCCCCTTTATAGCAGACAGGTTACTTACTTC